CTAAGCTAATGAATGTGTAAAACAGAATTGTTTCAGTTTCTTCCCCCATAAAATGTTCACAAAACATACGTGTTCTGCAACCCAGTGGAAAACACATAGCATGCACTTTGGCATCAGACAGGCAGGGTCCTGATCCTGGCTCTACTCAGATTAGCTATTACTTTCTGTGTGACTTTAGGGAAAGGATTTGCTTTCTCTGAGCCTCAGTCTCTACTAGCAGAGGAAGAAATGCTTCTAGAGGGAAACACAGACTGGATGGTGACAGAGGGTGGGGGGGAGGAGGCTACTGTGTGTAGAGAGGGATCTACATTCATCATCTCCCTGTCTCCTATCAGGCAGCCATGGGCCTGGAGAACTGGTCAAGGACACCCTCTACCTGAGGTCTTGCCAGGCCCATAGAGTTGTGCCCGCCTCCTGCTTTCTGCGCCAAGGGAGCGCCCCAGAGCTGAACCTGCGGCACCGTGGCCTGGGGCCCCAGGTAACCTTGGGGAAACCCCGGGGCCAGGCTTGGAGTAAAAGGACCTCAGAGGCAGCAGCCATGGAGTGGCCCCTTCTTGAACCCATACTGCACACTCCCCAACTTTGCTATGTGCCAGGCATGTCCCATCCCCTGTATCTGGGTGACAGGTAGGATCGAGGCTATGACAGAACTCAGTGTAAGGGTTGAGGGGCCTGCAGGGGACCTCTAACCTGCTGGGGGGGGGGCAGTCAGGGAAGGCTCCAGGAAGTGAGATCTGGGTGAAGCCTAAAAGAGAAGCAGGTGTCCCCTGGACATGTGGGAAAGAGAGAGCCGTCCAGTTGGAGGGCACCAGGTGGGCTGAACCCTGGAAACAAGCCAGGGTAGTGGCTAGCTGTGTCTGAGGCCTTCGCCCCTAGGAAAGACCAGGCCCCTCAGGCCCCTCTTTGTCCAAGGGTGCCCGGGCTCTGGCTTTCGCACTGAACTCCAATCCCTATGTCAAGCGGCTGGACCTTGGAGACAATGGGCTCTGTGGGGCCGGTGCAGAGGCCCTGGCAGGTGCCCTAAGCAAAAGCAGCAGCATTTGTGGTAAGTGCTGAGTTTGGGGCTGGTGGGCACATTTGAGTCCTCCCTTTCCTGAGGGGTGTGGGCTCCCCCCATAGCTGGGCCTTCTCACTTGGGGCCTGTTGGTGTTGCTGGTGCAGGGGTCTTAACACAGGGTGGGGCTGATGGGGGTGGAGTTAGAATCTCTGTGGTGCCCCCAATGCTGGCTGCTACTCCTCTCCTGATTGCCTACTCCCCACTCCCCTCCTTGGCTGGCCAGCACCTCCCCCTCCATATGGTGGCCTCCCATTGCCTAAATGCAGGGTGAAAGGGTCCTCCAACAGAGAGCCAAGGGGTGGACAGTGTGAGAGGGTGGAGGGCTGGGTGGGAATGAAGTGGGGCTGGATGCAAACGCCACCTCTACCACCGATGAGCCACCTTCTACCAGGGATGACCCTGGGCAAGCCATTCACCCTTGCTGAGCCTTACTTTTCAATCTGTGAAATGGCCCCAACAATACTACTTAGCCCTTGGAGTTGTACTGAGTATTAAATGAAACTGCATATGTGACATGCTCCAAGCATGGCCACCTGGGCCGTCATTGCCAGTTCCCAGAAATGCATCAGTGAAGACTTCTGTGGATGTATTATATCGCTGCCAGGCATGAATCATCAACAGGGTGACTGGATCTCCATCGCAGGCATCCTGCACAGCTCCATGAAGTAGGCGGTTTTAACCCCTTGACAAAGAAGCTTGTGGATGCGTGGGGTGGGTGTGGGCATCAGAGAAGCTGCCTGGGGGCCTGGGGAGAGGCAGCTGGTGAGTGGCAGAGTCACCATGCGACCCAGGATGGTCCAGCTGCAAAGCCCCTTCTGCTGCCTCAGGTCTGGAGGTTTGGGGGATAGAGGAAGGCGGAAGAGGGTGGTGCCGGGCTTCGGATCCCACTGATTGAGAAGTGGTGCTGACCCCTAGATGTGGACCTGTCGGAGAACCAGCTGGGAGCAGTGGGAGCCCAGGCTGTCTGTGCTGCCCTCATGGTGAACCCAACCATGCAGAAGATACAGCTGGCAGGAAATGGCCTAGACGAGCAGGCAGCCCCGTACCTTGCTGAACTCCTGCTGGCCCACACAGGCCTGAAAGCCCTGGACTTGAGCCATAACCAGCTGAATGACCAAGCAGGTAACATCTGACCAGGGTCACCACGGGGGCACTTGAGCCCATCTTCCTGGGGCAGGGGTGGGTGAAGGTTGGCAGGACCATTCTGAACATTCATACTCTGGCTCCCATTTCCCATGTTCCACTTTAGCCTGCCCCTCTCCCTGTCCTTCCACACAGAACCCTTAATCCATTCCACGGAAGTCATGGCCTGCTGCTGCATGTGCTGGGTGCTAATTTAGCCACTAGGGACCCAGTTGTGAACAAAACAAAGTCCCGGGCCTCAAGGAACACACGTTAACTAGATAATTGTCTACAATTATTGGTGCCACAAGATAAACAAAAGGAATGATTTTAGAGAAGAATGCTATAGAGAGGTGGTTGGGGAGGGCTCTGTGAGATGACATTTAAGCTGAAATGCGCAGGGTGGGAAGGAATCAGCAATAGCAAGACCAGAGAGAGAGAGAGCATTTAAAGCAGAGGAACAGTAAACATGCAGGCTTATTTCCCAGACTGATAGACACCGGTGTGACTGGGCTAGTGAGCCAGGAGAGAGGGACCAAGCTGTGAGTTGAAGAGGCAGTGGAGAGCTTCAGGCCTACAAATCTTGGCAAAAGGCATGAAGATTTTATTTCAAGTACCGTCTTCACGTACATCCACTTTGATGGGATTTCTTGATCTCACCACTTTCTCTCATGTCCCGGGGCCTTTGCACAGGCTATCAGCTTTGCCAGGAGCATGCACTTCTACCTGTCTGTCCTCAAGCACTCCAGTCAGTTACAGGAATCACTCAGGACCCTGGGTTAGGAATACAAATTCCTGGGCCCTGGGTCTGCTGAACCAGAATCTTGGTGGGGGGATGCCCATGCATCTACATTTTAATGGGTACCCCAGGAGATTTATCTGATCAAGAAAGTTTGGGAATCACTTTTCTGTCTCAAGCTGCTTAGGGTAGGAATGGTACCAGCCTTGGCCTTTGAGAATCAGCCTTAGAATTTAACTGCCAGAGAGCCATTTACCTTCTAAGAAAATTATCTTTTTTTTGAGGGAGAGAGAGAGAGAGAGAGAGAACACAAGGGGGGGTGTGTGTGGGGAGAGAGACAGAGAGACAGAGAGAGAGACAGAGAGGAGACACAGGATCTGAAGCAGGCTCCAGGCTCTGAGCTGTCAGCACAGAGCCCAATATGAGGCTTGAATCCACAAACTGTTAGATCATGACCTGAGCTGAAGTCAGTCGCTTTAACTGACGAAGCCACCCAGGTGCCTCCCTTCTAAGAGAATTATCATGAGAAGTCTGTGAAATTAAAAGAGAAGTTCAGGGCTGCTTGGGTGGATCAGTCAGTTAAGTGTCTGACTTCACCTCAGGTCATGATCTCGTGGTTTTTGAGTTCAAGCCTTGCATTGGACTCTCTGCTGTCAGCACAGAGCCCACTTCAGATCTTCTGTCTCCCTCTCTCTCTGCCTCTCCCCTACTCTCTCTCTCTCTCTCTCTCTCTCTCTCTCTCTCAAAAATGAATAAATAAACTTGAAAACAGGGAGAGAAGTTTATTTCAGACTTCCAAAAAACTATGTATAGATGTCTCCCAGATCTTCACAGTGAAAAAGTAAGCACCAGAGAGACAGCCAGGATAGTAGGGGCCGGAAGCTAAAGCTCTGTGAAGCCTGCACAAATATGGAGTACGGAGGTCTTCATCTTGGAAAAGGACAGACTCAGCAGGACCATTTTGTTTCCCTAAATGGAGATCTGTGGGGATCTCAACTGCCTTGAGGGGTGAAGAGCTTAGGTCTCAATCTCCCGATCTGACCCATGGCGAAGGTAGCCCCTGCCTCATAGTTGGCTACAGAGGTCATGAAGACCAAGTATGGGAATTTCAAGAGGCCAATCATGCATGTTGGAGAATCTCCTCACCCTCTAGTTGTTCAGAAAGAAGGGTTTCCCTACAAAGTGCGGACCACCGCTCTCTCTTCTCAGCCCTAGAAGCGTCTGTATCTGAGAACCCGCCGTGTCAGACCCAGTGCAAGTGTGGAATCCAGAGTCCTAGCTCAGGAAGGCATCACTGGGAGTCCTAGCAGCCTTGCAGGGAGCTCTCCAAGGTGCCAAAGCATCTTGCTCCAGGGGGTCCTGCTGGAGTAGGCTGGCTTTCTTTTTCTTTCTTCCTTTCTCTCTTTCTTCCTTCCTTCCTTCCTTCCTTCCTTCCTTCCTTCCTTCCTTCCTTCCTTCCT